TGAAACAACCATTGGCCCTAAGCCCTTTATGGAGAGGCCACATACTGATGTGTTTGATAGTGTCTGCTAGCTACTACTTGCTAGCTTCATTGACAAACAGAGTTAGAAGCGTTACAGATTCCGCAATATAAATGTAAAGGTAATTTCCCATTGAGCCGAAATATGCAGCGTTTACAGTGAAAACAGTCTCAGCTAAAGCAGGACCATTGCCTTTCAAATTTCAATCATGCTGTAAAGCTGAACTTACACAATGCGGATTGAATAGAGCCCTTAGCTAGCTAGCAAGTGATTTTGGGCACTGATAAACAGCTTGGAGCTTGTGCTTTATGATAGTTTGACAGCTTGCAGATGATGAAGTTGTAGATATGTTATTGTATGCACTGTGCACTGACTAGTTTTTCATACATTTTTTAACTTGAGAAATAATACATCAAACACCTTAGCTAAGACCTCCTCTGCAAAAATGTCAAAATTAATTACAGATTTCTTGATCTATCTTAGATTAATTCTCACTATTTTAAGGAAGTGGCTATGTTGTTGCTACGGTGCCTCAGGAGGGACAAACAACAGTACCTGCCAGGGTACGATATGTGAACATAACACACATCCACATCAAACCACACCCCCAAGACAACTCATGGCTTCAGTCATGGCCGCTAGCATTTCTAAATGAGCAATCTTCAAAACGAGGTCAAATCAGGAAGTGCAGTTACCCTTTAAATTTCAATAGAGCTATAATACCAATCTTCAGCGATATGGATTGAATATAGCCCTTGGCGATGCTTTATCCATAGCATTTCACACCTGAATCTAGAATTCTGTGAGAAAGCATAACTTAATATTTTAACAGCATACTACTTGCTTATGATCATTGTAAATCATTGACTCATTCTGACCGGTTTGGTGGATTGTCGGTCTCCATGAAAATTGTACATAAATACCCATTTACAAAGTTCTTTGAAAGGTCATAGAATAATATCCCTTTGCCGCTGTTGATGATTCAACCCCTGCATTGCTCAAATGTCTCTTGATAGAGCGATACTGAACTGAACCCAGACCTCGGTCGGCCAGCCCCCACCCACCACCGTGCGGTCTTTATATAACTTCCAATTTCCATCCCTGCCAGACGGATCAAATCTAGCCAGTCCTGCAGATTTCACAGCTTGCTCTGGCTGTGTGACTTCCTGTCACTATTTTGCAGCGGATTGCTTTGATACAATCAAAAGCACTGAATGTAATTGGTGCAATCACTGTACACCAGATGTCGCAATTAAACGACAATGTGAGGCACAAGGGATGTATACTACATGACCAAAAGTATATGGACACCTGCACAGGGGTATTGTCAAACTATTGCCACAAAGTTGGAAGCACAGAATCGTCTAGAATGTCATTGTATGCTGTAGCGTTAAGATTTCCCTTCACTGGAACTAAGGGACTTAGCCCGAACCATGAAAAACAGCCCCAGACCATTATTCCTCCTCCACCAATCTTTACAGTTGACTCTATGCATTCGGGCAGGTAGCGTTCTCCTGGCATCTGCCAAACCCAGATTAGTCCGCCGGACTGCCAGATGGTGAAGCATGATTCATCACTCCAGAGAACGCGTTTCCACTGTTCCAGAGTCCAATGGCGTCTGCAGGAGACATCTTTTATGCTTAAAAGAAAACGGTAAGGAAGGCCAGATCTGAAGTAAAAATAACTTTGTATCCTTAGATACAGGCACACTGATAGACAGGTAGGATGGGAAAAACGGTAGGCGAGCTATACGCCACTCCAGCTGACACTTGGCATTGCGCATGGTGATCTTAGGCTTGTGTGCGGCTGCCCGGCCATGGAAACCAATTTCATGAAGTTCCCGACGAACAGTTCTTGTGCTGACATTGCTTCCAGAGGAGGTTTGGAACTCGGTAGTGAGTGTTGCAACTGAGGACAGACGCGCTACGTGCTTCAGCGGTCCTGTTCTTTGAGCTTGTGTGGCCTACCACTTCGTGGTAGAGCCGTTGTTGCTCCTAGACGTTTCCACTTCACAATAACAGCACTTACAGTTGACCGGGGCAGCTCTAGCAGGGTAGACATTTCACAAACTGACTTGTTGGAAAGGTGGCATCCTATGACGGGGCCATGTTGAAAGTCCCTGAGCTCTTCAGTAAGGCCATTCTACTTCCAATGTTTGTCTATGGAGATTGTATGGCGGTGTGCTCGATTTTATACACCTGTCTGCAACAGGTGTGGCTGAAATGGCCAAATCCACTAATTTGAAGGGGTGTCCACATACACTATATATACACACAAAAGTATGTTTAGCCAGCCTCTTCAATCACTCATCGATTGTTGACTTCCTAACTGGGTCCAAATGCAGCAACTGTTGTAATGAGGTTTCTGTACCTGATTGATATCTAAAAATCAATGACTATGTGATGATGATGCAGGTAAATCTTTATTTCACAGTAACCTACTATTGAAATGAAATCTGAGGGACTAAAATAAAAAAAAAAACATGGAATACAGTCTTATCTAAGGAAATCATTCAAGCAATCAGGGGGTAACGCTATAAACCTCAATGGGGGTAACCCTTGCAGATTTGCTGGGCAGTGAGCAGACAGGTATATGGTCTGGACACAAACATAAGGTTAAAAAGCCTTGAATTTGTTCCATCTGTTCTCATTGAATGAAGGGTAGTAAACGTATATATTACAAATAGGCCTACTCATATTTGCAAGTTCTGTACGACTCATCAAATAGGAGAACAGGCATATGGGCATCAAAAGAACATGACATCCATAGAACACTAATTTCAAAGCATAAATTAGAGCTTTATTTTATTATTACAATATTACAAAAAGAGTAGCACAACTCACACGCTCTCGCGTCTTATCTGTCGTACAGCCAGAGTGACACGTAAAAGAAAGGCTTATTGGGCCTTCCTCCATTTCACAGCAATAGTAAAGGAAACAAAGAGGAAAAATAAGATTTAAATAACAAGAAAATCAAGTATTATAGTCACAACTGAAGCTTAGATTTTTTTTTTTTACAACCCAGTAACTACACATAGCTTTAAAATATAATTACAAAATCTTACTCAATTTCTTGTTCTCATAATAAAAAAGAATCTGTAAGGAATTGCTTTTTCTATTCAACAAAAAATAAACAGAAATTGCTGTTCCTCTGTATGTATCCTTGCAATCTTCATTCTCAACCATAATTTTGAATTTTCGTTATAACCATGCTTGTTTTCAAAGGAAAGTCCAAGGACCAAATACTTAAGGCTTTTTAAGGGCTGTTAGGGAGGGAGGTGAACAGAATGTGGATGTCAGTGTCCACCCACTCTCACATACAGACACACGCGCACATCTGCATACATACAAAACACATGTTTATACTCAACCAACGTCAGCAGGTATCATTCACACACACAATCATTACACTTTAAAGTTAGAGTAGTATAGTATTTAAGCCAGTGTACAATAAAATAAACAATGCATTTGCTGTTTAACTTAAGTCATTTTCGTTTACCTCCAAGTGATCTTGCAAGTGATCAATTTGGTCTCTTCAAGCACACTTCATATCAGAATCAGTAGCAACTACACCTAACTTAAGTTACCCTAATGATAAAAAATAATACAAATGTTTTAACAATCAGGATCAAAACTCTGATTTGGTTCATCATTAGTTTCTAAAATAATATTATAAAAGTAACAATTCTATTTCTTCCACTCCAGTTGTAAGGTTAAGTCCTGCTAACTAGCCCACTTCCTTCACTAAACAACTGCCAAACAGAACGTTGCATCTCAACAATTCAAGTAATCGGTTTCACCAAAATTATAGGGAAAAAATTAAACGAACATAAAATGGCACATTTTAAAAGCAGTTTTTCCTTGTCGATTATGTGACTTTGGCCATTTAAGGCTTCAGACAGAATGAACAGATTTTTTTTCTTTTTTCACTCCATTGGAATAAAAACATGTTATTCCACAATCATGTTGCCAACCTCAATTGGCATTGGAGACAAAATGGTTTGTAACAGACACCTGAATTCATTGCAGCATTTTGAGCAAGAGAGCGTCGGTCAGTTGGCTCCCCCAGTCAGTCCCCACGTTACGTTGCTCCCTGCAGGATCTAGATGTCTACACAGTATATATCTATACTCTGTACAAACATCAACCTGATTAGATACTTTGATGATAGAGAGGAATCAACCTTGAACAGTGAGTGACCTGATTCATAAAACAGTCCTATTTCACAAATAAATTAATACATTTCAAAAGAAAGAAAAAAAAGCCTCTTTGTACATGTGCATATGGCAAGTGTCTCCGTCTGTACTTTGTAGTGTCCAGTGACTGACAGTTCCATACTGAACCATTCACTAATTATCTCATCTCTGTGGTGATTTCAAGAGGAAAATATATATGCTTGTGTTTTTAATCTCGATGTCACTATGAGATTCACATGTAAACGTAATAAGGGAAAATTAGCCACTTGTCCAATAAAACTAGTTGGAGCTGAGAAATCCCCACTCGACCCTGTAAAAACATCAAGATCCTTATGAGAATGTTTTCTCTTTCCTCCAACGATCAGTGAGTTTTCATCCATCGTCTGCAGGAGACATCTTTTATGCTTAAAAGAAAACTCTAAGGAAGGCCAGATCTGAAGTAAAAATAACTCTGTATCCTTAGATCCAGGCACACTGACAGACATGTAGGATGGGGAAAAGGTAGGGAATGATGACAATCACACACATTAGAAACGTTCCCTAAAGGGTGCCTAGTGAAAGCACTCATTTACAAAATCAATTGATCACTTGCAAGATTGACTACAAAAAAAGAAAAAGAAAACACTGCTCTTTATTAAATATATTTGTCCTCTTTTTAATGTCAGCATTCATTTTTACTTAATTTATTAATTTAATTGTATTTCATGTTTTTACTTTCTTAAGACTAAAAGAAGAAGGTTCTTGTTTTTGATAACTGCTGTGTAGACAAGGCCGGCCATAGCTTATCTTATCTGTACCCTGGGTGCTGGATGTGAGCGGTTCTGCCGTCCCCTGGGCCAACCTCGGGCCCCACCCTGTTCATTGGAGGCCTGTGCATCTTGCCCATCAGCCCCAGATTCTGATCTCGGAAGCAGGGCGTCTGGAAGTCCCCGCCCACGTAATCTGATGTTTTCATCAGACTAGTCTGGCTGGAGGAGGAGGAGGAGGAGGTGGAGCCGCCGCCCCCGGTCCTGTAATGGCCTCCCCCAGGGGGCCCGCCGCAGTCTAGCGTGGTGGTGACCCCTGAGGCCCCCACATGGAACGGCATGGCCAGGTCCTGAGACCCGGAGCTGTCGCTGTTGGGCGTGGGCAGGATGCTGCTGTTCCACACAGTGTGTGGCTGGAAGTAGTGGCCACCGTTGGTGTAATGGGCCAGTGGACCCCCAGGCATGCCGTTGTTGTTGACGGGGGGAGAGGGGGTGGGCTTCTCTATAGGAGGCTTCAGGCTGTATGGCTGGCCCACACACAGCTCCGGGGGGTAGCCCATGCGGGAGGGGTGCTTGCAGGGGTGGCCCCCACCATCCTGCTGCATGTGCTGTAGGTAAGCCAACTGGTGCTGGTTCCAGCGCATCTGCTGCTGCTGTTGGTGATTATGTTGTTGTTGTTGTTGTTGTTGTTGTTGTTGTTGTTGTTGATGCTGCTGCAAATGCTGTTGGTGCTGCTGTTGTAAATGCTGTTGATGCTGCTGTTGTAAATGCTGTTGATGCTGCTGCTGTTTGATATCATTGTGGTAAACAGGCATCCTGTTCATGGCAGCCATGTTGTTTTGGGGGTTTGCGGGGGCAGCAGCCTTGTCTGCGGGACACATGATGCAGTTGGGGTGTGGGGGCAGGCCGGGGGGGCAGGCGTTGGGGTGCGGGTTGCTGTGCATGGACACCCTGGAGCAGGCGTTGTTAAAGAGGTTGCGGCTGGGGTTGGCAATCTGGCCTTCGCACATGGAGGTGGCTCCAGCCCCCTGGGCCCGGGCTTGGCAGAACTGGTTGATCTGGTGCACGATGCTGCTCAGGTCTGGCTGGCGGCCCTGGTTCAGGCCAGCAGCCATGGTGAGCGGAATGGTTGAGGTAGAGACGGTCACGTTAGGCGGTGCGTCGGCGTCGGACAGCTTCCGGCCACCCTGCAGTCCAGGAGGAGGCTGCCCCTGCTGCTGAAGGTGCTGTTGCTGCTGCTGTTGGAGCAAAAGGGTGAGACCAGGAGGAGGTTGGGGGTGGCCCAGTGCTTGGGGGTGGGACAAAGTCTGGGGCCTGAGCAGATCCGGTTGCGGGTGCTGCTGCATGCAGGGTGGGTGTCTGAGGCCCTGCTGCTGCTGGGGGTGAGTCTGTTGTAGAGGCTGGGGGTGAGTCTGGCTCCCAAGTTGAGGGTTCACGCTCTGCTGAGACTGGGACCCGCCCTGGCCTTGGGAAGGGGGGTGGTGGAGGTTTAAAGTGCTGGCCGAAGCGGCTGCTGTGAAGGGCCCCCCGGGGCCAGGGGGGTTCATGATGACCCCAGAGGGGTGCAGGCGCGCCCGGCTGCCGTCAAAGTCTTTGAGGATGCCCTTGACGACGGGCACCTTGACGATGGCAAGGAGGCCGGACTTGGCGTTGGCCTGAGATGGGGGGTAGGGGCTGTAGCGCTGGCCTGAAGTATCCAGCCCGTTGACTGTGCGGCGCACGTGGTTCCTCTGGGGGACCTTGACGCTGTTGGGGAAGATCTTGATGGTCAGGGGGTTGTTGGCAATCTTCTTAGCATAAGCATCCAATTCCGCAGGGGTTGGATACGGAGCGGATCTCATCCTCTGTGTAGTGTCCCCTGGGGTGACAGAGAGAGAAAGAGAGAGGTGGGCGGAGGGAGAGAGAGCACAGGGGGGGGAAGGACAAAGGGGGAGAGAGAGGGAGAGAAACGCAAAATGTCAGGTTTCCCGTCAGAAGAGCAGATGTGTGGTAATCTGACTTGAGGTTCTACGGTTCTCCTCTGAGATGAACGGAACCGGACTGACTTCAACAACATTCTCACATTCCAAATCTCAGCCCTTCCCCTAATATCAAAAACAGCACAGTGCTCTCATCTCATGGGGACGCAATAGAACCTGAACCCCAAATGGCACCCTATTCCCTTTATAGTGCACTTTTGGTCAAAAGTAGTGCAGTATATAGGGAATAATGTGACATTTTGGACGCATACAGAGAGTTTGATCTTGACTCGATTCCCCCGAAGCAAGCAACACATTCCAATCTCTATTCCTATTCTGAATTGCCGTAGTTGGGGTTTACAGTCAGTCAGTAACATTGAGGTCAGTAGCTTCAGGCCACTATGAGTTGTAGCTAACAATAACTGTGTGTGAAATGTGAATCAGAGAGCGACAAGAAAGAAAGGGCTTACTTATCCTGCTACTGATTCCCAGACTAAACAAGGCAACAGTAAACATGTCGTCCCCCACGAATGATGCAGCCCCCCCCCCCCCCCACGACCTTGCATGTGACTAACATATGAACGAACGGAGACAGATCCACAGTCCCCTCCCCGATTTCACCGTGGGGGACAACAAAGAGGAGTGAGGCAGAAAGGCAGAGAAGGCAGTGTTGGACCTCTGTGGCTGCCAGGGGGATAGTTCTCCTCTGTGTCAAAGAGGGAGGGAGGGGGGTAGGGAGGGAATGAGGGAGCACAAGAGAGACAGAGAGAGAGAGAGAGACAGAGACCGAGAGAGAGAGAGAAAGAGTGGAGCAGCTCCATGACAGCAGACAGTAATCACACAGCGTCTCTCTGATCTCTGGAACACCACTGAGCCCTCAGCCCTCTGACAGACATTTGTTACAGCTGCTAAGCACCTCACTGGCTATATTTAACAATGCCCCAGTGTGTCTGAAGATGCTGTAGTTTGAGTGTGTGTGTGCGCGTTTGTGTGTTTGGGGGAGTGTAAGACTGATAAGGTGTGTGTTTGACATGTGCATCCAGGTGCTCGTGAGTGTGTTGTGTGTGTGTTCAGCATGTGCTAAGGTGATGGCGTGTTTCTGTCTAAAACTGTCACTCATTTTCTTTCCCCAACTGTAAAAGTCAGTTATAATGTAATATGAGAGAGAGAGGTCTGCCTCCAGCCATTGTGATCTGGGTTGAGGAGAGGTTCTGTATGCAACCTCACCAAGCCTCCCCTCCCCGGGCTGAGCCCTGGGCCTCAAACCCTGTCACCCTCCCTGCCCCAGCCAGCCAGCCTGACCTACATACAGTGCGTTCGGAAAGTATTCATAACCCTTGACCTCCTCAATCTACAAACAATACCCCATAATGACAAATCGAAAACAGGTTTTTAGAATTTGCAAATGTATTATAAATAAAAACTGAAATAGCTTATTTACATAAGAATTCAGACACTTTGCTACGAGACTCCAAATTGAGCTCAGGTGCATCCTGTTTCCATTGATCATCCTTGAGATGTTTCTACAACTTGATTGGAGTCCACCTGTGGTAAATTCAATTGATTGGACATGATTTGGAAAGGCACACACCTGTCTATATAAGGTCCCACAATTGACACAGCATGTCAGAGCAAAAACTAAGCCATGACGTCGAAGGAATTGTCCGCAGAGCTCCGAGACAGGATTGTGTTAAGTCACAGATCAGGGGAAGGGTACCAAAAAAATGTCTGTTACATTGAAGGTCCCCAAGAACACAGTGGCCTCCATCATTCTTAAAAAGGAAGAAGTTTGGAACCACTAAGACTCTTCCTAGAGTTGGCTGCCCGGCCAAACTGAGCAATCGGGGGAGAAGGGCCTTGGTCAGGGAAGTGACCAAGAATCCGATGGTCACTCTGACAGAGCTCTAGAGTTCCTCTGTGGAGATGGGAGAACCTTCCAGAAGGACAACAATCTCTGCAGTACTCCACCAATCAGGCCTTTATGGTAGAGTGGTCAGACGGAAGCCACTCCTGCGTTGTTCTGTTGGAAGGTGAACCTTCGCCCCCAGTCGGAGGTCCTGAGCGCTCTGGAGCATGTTTTCATCAAGGATCTCATTACTTTGCTCCGTTCATCCTTGCCTCGATCCTGACTAGTCTCCCAGAAACTACCACTAAAAAACATCCTCACAGCATGATGCTGTCACCACCATGCTTCACCGTAGGGATGGTGCCAGGTTTCTTCCAGACGTGACGCTTGGCATTCAGGCCAAAGAGTTCAATCTTGGTTTCATCAGACCAGAGAATCTTGTTTCTCCAATCAAGTTGTAGAAACATCAAGGATAATCAATGCAAACAGGATGCACCGGAGCTCAATTTCGAGTCTCATAGCAAAGGGTCTGAATACTTATATAATTAAGATATTTCAGTTTATTTTGAATACATTTGCAAAAATGTCTAAAAACCTGTTTTCGCATCGTCATTATGGGGTATTGTGTGTTGATTGAGGATTATTATTTTTAAATCCATTTTAGAATAAGGCTGTAACGTAACAAAATGTAGAAAAGGTCAAGGGGTCTGAATACTTTCCGAAGGCACTATATAGGGAATATGGTGCCATTTTGGATACACCAACAGATAGTGAGACACACAGGCAGTCCCACAGTGATGACCTTTGAAAACACTGTCTGAACCAAAGTGAACCCTTATCTTTTAACATCCAAACCATATATCCGTATATATTTAGTTATTCTATTCAATAATTCTATCATCTAGTACAACATTCTTCTATTAAATACGTGGGTAAAAAAACAAAAAACTAGAGTGTTTATTAGAGGGTGGCTAGTTCTGTCTTTTACTGGGGGCGAAATGTCTAAAATGTCAAGCAATGCTACTGGGTTCCCTCGCAGACTCATCTCCTAATGTGGATGTGACTGGGATTCAGTCTTTCCACTCTAGCTGTAAGTCTCTCTGCAGCTGTAGAACTTTGAGGATCTGAGGGCCCATGCCAAATCTTTTCAGCCTCCTGAAGTGGAAGAGGCATTGTTGTGCGTTCTTCACAACTGTGTTGGTGTGTGGACCATGTTAATTCCTTAGTGATGTGGACATCAAGGAACTTGAAGCTCTCGACTCACTCCACTACAGCCCCGTCGATGTGGATGGGGACGTGCTCGGCCCTCCTTCTCCTGTAGTCCACGATCAGCTCCTTTGTCTTGCTGACGTTGAGGGAGAGGTTGTTGTCCTGGCACCACACTGCCAGGTCACTGACCTCTTCCCTATAGGCTGGGCTGTCTCATCATCGTCGGTGATCAGGCCTACCACCGTCGTGTCGTTAGCAAACTTAATGATGGTGTAGTCAATGAACAGCATTCTCACATAGGTGTTCCTCTTGTCCAGGTGGGAGAGGGCAGTGTTGAGTGCAATAGAGATTGAGTCATTTGTGGATCTGTTGGGGCAGTACGCAAATTGGAGTGGGTCCAGGGTGTCTGGGATGATGGTGTTGATGTGAGCCATGACCAGCCTTTCAAAGCATTTGATTGCTACAGATGTGAGTGATGGCAGGCTCATTAATGAAGGGGTCTGGGCCAGGCATTTGAGCTCAACACTCTCAATCTCTGGCTGCTTAATTCCTGCCTCGGACTTAATGCCTGGGTAAGCAAACATAACACAGACACAGAATCGCAGCAGTGCCCAGCCCGCCAGTCACTTTTGCAGAGATAACTAATGACATCCAAGAGCCATCTATCCCTTCAATGACAGGAAGATTTAAAAAAAAAGCTATTCAGATGTCCAATTTTGCTAAACTGGACAATACTGTGCATGAGTATGCGTGCGCACTGTGCACGTGGCTACGCGGAACAGATCCACACGGGAGCGAGAGAGAGTAAAGAGGCCAGCCTGGCCCTGAGTTGTTAATGAATTACCCCAATCAGTCCCTCCATTCAGTCCCTCCAGGATTTTGCAATTGCAAAACATTTAGCAAAATCAACTATTCCCTGCATATTATATGAGGGCTTGCAAATCAAATCAAATCAAGTTTATTGGTCCCATACAGAGTTTAGCAAGTGTTATAGCAGGTGCAGCGAAATGCTTATGTTACTAGCTCCTAACAATGCAGTAAAATTACAAACAATTCAAATGTAAGGGGGAAACAAAGACAAGAAATCAAGAACGGCGGGACAAATCTGATTGACCTCTAAAAGTATGGAATTGTTTAAGATGGTCATACCATGGCTCATTTAGCTATTTGATTTTGAATTTTAGGACCCCTTTAGGTATATAAAAATTACATTAAAAGATAAATATTGAATTTGGAATTCATGAGTCACCCCTTTCCACAGTGGGGTCATATTAGTTTGTAGCCCAAACGGGACGTCTTATGGTCTGACAAACACAGCTGTAGCTCGGCCACCTTCCACCGCAGATGCGGAAGGCCGACATGGGCGGATTTGGTGGATTGATTCGCAGCCCATGCAAAAAACTGATCTCTAGCTTAAACTGATGGATTTTGATGGGGATTTTTTTATTATGTTACTTAGATAGACTCTTAAGGATTATCAACCCAAATAGCACTGTAGCAGTAATCAATGCAATCTATACGGCTGCCCGCACCACCCTCTGGAGAGCCATGCGGTTGATGGCGGAGCAGTTGCCATACCAGGTGGTGATGCAGGCTGATGGAAGTTGAAGCTTTTGACCCCATCCACTGCGGCCCCATCGATGAAGATGGGGGCGTGCTCTCTCTTCTGTCTCCTGTAGTCCATGATAAGATCCTTTTTGTTGACGTTGAGGGAAAAGTTATTTTCTTGGCACTTCCCTCTAACCTCCTCCCTCTAGTTTCGTTGCTGTTAGTAATCAGGCCTACCACTGTCGCGTCGTCAGTAAACTTGATGATTGAGTTGGAGTTG